ATAAACCTAACTACCCCCCCCCAATTTTTTTAAATACTTTTTGTTTTCTAATTAAGTTTTGTTAGAAATATTATATCCCCCCAAAAAAATAATTCTTAGAGTTTAATTTTTAATTGGTTAATAATGGTTAAGCATAACTCTCACTGGTGATCATTATTTATCTTTTAGTTACTTGAAGTCATTAGGGGGAAATCTCTGTACCTTCCCCTCAATTTTGCTGTGAATCTTAAACCGCTATAAAAAAATAAAAATCTTAAAGGAAAAACTTTAAAAAGCCATTAGACTCATGGAAAGCATAATAGTGATTCTCTTAAGCAAATACACCACTGTTCAGTTTTGCTTACCGGAGAGTTCAGTTCATTTAGCAAGCATTTGTGCTTCAAGGGGTGTAACATGAATAAAGGTATAAGTTTGAGGTGCTACCATCTCATTTTGCCATCTCATTTTTTATACCTTCAAGTGGCGTGTTGGTTAGCTATAGCTTTGACTATTATAAGGAGCAGGAATCAAGGGAAAGGGGTACCAGGCTCAGTTGTCCCTGACTGTGAAGGGAAGAGGTAGCCCCAGTGCTGAGTATTTGCTGCCTTCCTTTCTACACAGACTTCAAGTCACTCAAAATTCTCTCCTATATGACCCTAGGTTTGCTACCTGAGAACCTCAGTTTTTCCCTATATTTGAAGTGGGTAAAAAGTTTATATCTGGATTGCTGAATTCTATTTTCAGATTACTGAGTGGTTGTTTTTTTTTTTTTAATCTTGCTAGTGAAGTCAGGGAAAGCTATAAAAATACTACATTTTATTATGTTGAGGATGAGGCCTGAGCAGCTTACCTAAGGATGATGGATCAAAGCGAACTTCTGGAAATTGACTGCTGGGAGATATTCTGATATATTAAATTTGACAATATCTGTTCTTGCCCATAAATCTATTTTTGATGACAAGTGGTTTCTGCATTTCTGAATTATCCTTAATGTCCTTCTAACCCTGGTGATGTCAGCTAACCATGCCCATGTGTTTATGGCGGTCTACAGATGGTACTTGTAAGGTTTTACACTGGTGGATTACTTTGAATTTAATTCAGTTCAGCAAACCTGAGTTCCTACAAAGCAGCAGGCGCTGATTTACACAATAGGTGTGCAAAGATGAATATGGCATGGTCTGATAGAAGAAACAGACACAAAGGGAAATAAAGAGAACATATACTAATAAGCATAGTTACAAAGGACAGAGATGACACTGAGGAGGAATTATTAACTCTGCAGGAGAGGAGGAGGAGGAAGCAGAAGGGGACGAGGACAGAAGTAGAAGAGAGCCAGGTTCTTACCTTCCAGGGTAGGAGGTTAGTGAGTACATTTTAAGTTGGATGATCTAGAAACTGTGGTGTTATTTAGCAGATTTATACGTGGTGTGGAGGTGAACAGGGCTTCTATCTGGGAAACAGGTATCTAAGGAGGGAAAAAATAAGCCCTATTATTTTTTTTATTGTAAACCTTGTAGTACTCTGACTCTTGAAAATGATATACATATTGTTACTTTGTTAAAAAATTGTAAAATGTTTTTTAATCCTCCTCACTCTTTTAGGCCAACTCAAGTGATACCTTTTCCACGTATCCTGTGTCCTAAGTAGACACGCACACCCCTTCATTTGAAATTCTTTAAACTCCTTATACAACATTTCCCACATTCTGGTTTTAGATTATTTGCTTTCCTTATCCCTCTGCTAGATTATTAGGTTTTAGAAAGCATGAACTATTTATCTTCTTCAGGGCTGAGTAGCTCCTTACATGTAGATGGCATAATTGAATTGAGGGTTTTAGCCATGTTGTTTGTCAGCTCACATTTCGGAGTCTTGGTGGCATGAAATACTAATATTCTAATGAGAATGTATAGAGGTGCCATCTGCTAAGCATGATTTTATATCTTTTTATGAAACTAGGATTTATCTAGTACTCGTAAATCTGATTCTATGGATTTTGGTAGAATACTCTGTATTTAGGAGCACGTTCTAGATTACTGATAATAAAAATTTTTGTTTCTTGAAAATTAAGAGCTAGTTTCTCATTTGTTTAGCTATTGGTATTGGAAAGATTTATTTCTGTAATTTATTTATTTATGTCCCACAAGAACTCTTTTATTTGCTTCCAAGATGACTGGTATTCAGTGCATTTGATACTCTGCCATTTTAGGAGATTAGTCGTTTTAATATTTTAATCCCATGGTGACCAAACAATGAGTAATAGAGGTAGATTACTCTTGAGGGAGCATTTGATCTGCCCTCCTGGCTGCCTCCTAAAGCAAGAGAATGTCCAAGCTATTCCAAGCAGATGGTAGGAGAGATTTTCTGTTAAAACAGAGCCCTGCTCCCACACTCACCCCATTTTGATTAGATACTTCATCATCCTCACCACATTCTTTCAAGAGTTCACTTGGTAAACCCACATTACCTCTGTTTAAGTCAGCTTTTTTTTTTTTTTCTTAATGGAGGTACTGGGGATTGCACTCAGGAGCTCGTGAAGGCACGTGCTCTACTACTAAGCTGTACCCATCCCCTACATCAGCCTTATTTTTAATGTCACTTTTCTCCCTATAAAGATGTTTTAAACACTATTTCAAGATATTCTTTAGCTCTATGGCTATTTATTTATTTATTTATTTACTGTTACAAAAGCTTATTTAACAAAAAAATGTTCAATAAGAAAATGTACATGACCCAATTTTTATCATAGTAAAATGTGGGGAAGAGACATGTGGAAGCAGTTGATTTCTCTGGTGAACACAGCCATTGTTCATAGTTGTTCCAAGGCTTCTAACGTGATGATACCATTTCCCCATGTTACCACATTCCAGTGTTGTTCTGTTGCCCACTCGTTGCCATCTCCACACATTCATCTGTCACAAGATTCACGAAAGGATCAAAATTCCTGCAATATTTCTTGGACATATCTGCTCCCATTTAATTTCAGTGATAACTTCTTGTCTATAAATTTCTTCAACTCAGGAGGGTGAGCTTTGCTGTCTTTCCAGTACAAAGCAGAGTAGAAAAGTTGGGACAGAGATCATAATAGCCTGCAAAGGCTAAATATTTTCTGTCTGGCCCCTTAAAGGAAAGTTTGCAGACGTGATCCAGAGAATTGATTTTAGACAATTGGCCCAGCGTTTGTGGTTGAACTTGTTATATGTACCTAGAAAACAATGCAATTGCTCAACACAGGGAGAACAAAAGTCGGATAGGAAAGAAAAAGTAGTCATGGTTTACTCCATGACTTAGCTTTGAATATGTTTACATGATGATAATAGTGTAAATGTCAAATATTGTAGTAATTAAAATGACCATACAACTGCATTGGGAAGATGGTAAGGACGTGCTCATGTGGTGGGAACAGGAAAAGGAAGGAGGTTAGTCCTCATCTCTGATAGTCAGTGGATAAGCCCTAAAACTGAAGAAGAAACATGGTGATAAATACAAAGAGGTGAAAATCATTTCCCCTGGGGAGGAAGAAACAAAGGGCAGAGGGGCAGGGACTGCATTTTTCATACAAACAAAACTTTTGCAGACTTTTAAAAATGTACCTTTATACCTACGATGAGGAAAAAAATAACACCTCCCCCCACTGGAAAACAAAAAAGAAAAGAAAGAAGCACTTTTTCAAGGTCAACAAATCATAGTACTTAATCCTGCTTCCCCTTTCTGTTCTCACTTGCAATGGGGAGACATCACTGATCACCCCATTTCCTGTTGAGTAAGAACGCAGTTGCAGACTGTTCAGGGTCACGTTCCAGCAACTACGCCTGGTCAGTGAGAGTTGGCTCTGCTGTGAAACCAGTATCTGTGATACAGTTAACAAAAAAGCACCAATTTAGGCAGATTCTGTCCGGTTCCCAGGCATTCCCACCAAAAGAACATTCCTAAGATGCATTATTTGGCCTAGCATTTGAGTACTATACATGTGTTCTAAAGAAGCTGCATTTTAAAACTTCATCTGTTCCAAAAACCGCTCCTCCTTAAACCTACAAACATAGGAAGACAGGCGTTTCTCAATAATTACTCATAGATACAGGATAATCTAAAGCTGAATTGTGTAGCAGAGTCGCGCAGCAGAAGTGTGCCGGGCCCATAAAGCTGAGTTGTGGTTCTGAATGACTCTGACTCCTGAATTAAAGTAGTTTTTCTTTTTTTCCCTGATCTTAATAGGATCTTTCCAGTTAAAGATGTACCCCTGGAGACTGATGACCTTGCTGATTGGCTCTATCAACGTTTTATTGAAAAAGAGGACCTCTTGTCACATTTTTATGAAACAGGTACACAGAATCCTATTACATGCATTCCTGAAGTTACTGATAGTTTCAAAGATGTGTCTGAACCATTTTTTGATTCTTCAAATACCCTAAAGGAATCAAAGTATTTCTGTATAGAAGAATTTCAGCTTAGAATTTTTATAAAGACAAATTTATGCTAAATTTATTCAGGCTCTTGCTTCATCAGCCAGTGTGGAAAAATCAAATGATGAGAAAAAACATTGTATAAATGGATCTCGTTCAAGAAAGTACACAGTCTGTGGAAGACTGCAGTTATACATCCATGATTATATGGGCCGTTTTATGAAATAGCAAATATCATTCATGTTTTGGCATTGGACTTGATCGTTTCACTAATGCCATCACCTTGTAGTCATTTCAGATCATTTTTAACTGCACTTTAACGTGCTTGTTCTTTTCTTTACACAGAGGGATAACATTTACCTTTTAAGTTTTCATGGATACAGCCTTATTACATTTTTCTCCTAGGGAGAAAAAAGTCTATTTACCTTCAGATCACTTTTCTATACTCAGTATTCTCTACGTTCTATGAAAACTAAAATGCAGTGAAAAAGACATAGGAGGGGAGGAGGAGAGAGGGAGGAAAACAGGTAGTTAGGAGAGAAGGAGATTAACCTTGGTAGAATGCCAGGCACTTCCAGAGTGCTTCCCCAGACAGCTGTGTGGTAGGCCTATTTGCTAGAGCCTGCAATAGGAATAAAAAGATGAAGAGAAAGTTGTCCCAGGTCTGAGGATCGCCATGGGGTTTTAGATTAATAGAGGCCCAATTTTCTTCCCACTTAGAGTTTTTTGGTACATAATTAAAATAGATGTTAAATCAGACTTGGGGGGAGGATATAGCTCAAGTGGTGGAGTGCATGCTTAGCATGCTTGAGATCCTGGGTTCAATCCCCAGTACCTCCTCTAAGAATAAATAAATAAGTAAACCTAATTACCTCTCCCCACAAAATAAAAACAACAACAACAAACCAAAAAAAAAAACAACAAAAATAAATCAGATTGTCAAAGATCTAGTACTAATAAGCAAAGACTGAAACTGTTAATTACCTCTAAGGATTTTGTCTGTGTGTTTAAAATTGCTTCACTTTGTCCTCAGTAGGGTTCCTTTGTCATTTTATCTTTCTGAACCTGAGGCTCTGGAGTAGTGCGTGTTAATATGACATGAGTAGGACACTGTATGCTGTTAGAATTCCTAGGAAGACTCGTTAAACAGGATGCCCCTCTGTGCTGCGCACATTCCTTGGTCTTAACTCTAGAATTTAAAGACAAGACAGGTTGGATGTGTAAGAAGGCGTCAGGTAATTAAGAGGCCAACAAGATCTCTCTTTTTCAGTCTCAATCTCTTTATGATATTTGGTCTAAATCGTAGCAACAATAATGTAAACCTCTTTTGAAGAAAACTATTTGCATAATAGACTTTGAAACTTAAAAATGTTCTCTGTAAATTGTTGGAAGCAAATCCTCTCCAGAATCAGCTTACCCTAGGGGATTATCAGCAGGGACAAAGACTGTTTGAAAGGCTGAAGAGTGTTTTCAAGATGACCTTAAATATTGCTCCAAAGTAGTCTAGCTTTCCTTTCCGGAAAAGAATTTAAAGACATTTGTTTACGTGGTGTTTCTCCTTTTTATTATTAAGATGTATTCCATAAACCATATTGCCGTTTGAAAATAATATCAGTAATGTACAACCTCTTTTGTGGCAAAAACATTTCATTTGTAAATAGAGGAATTAGCGTAAGTTATGTTATTTTGGAAATTATTTAATTGATTTCACATATCCTGTATCCTAGCCATGGTAGAAATCTCTAGGGATACCATCGAAAACAAGGCAGCCCGAGTGCCTGCTCTCACGCGGTTTAGATTCCAGCAGGAGACGGAGAGTAAACCAGTCTGTAGGAAAGAAAAAAAAAAAAAAAGAGATAGATCAGGATCAAGATACAGATTGTAAAAAGTGCCAAGAAGGAAGTGAGCATGGAGTTGAAGGTGACTGGTGGGCAGAAGAGATAGGTGGTATTTTTCTGATATAGGAAGAATGCAGGGAGCCTGCCATTCACTGAGATGGAAGAGGGGGCATTCCAGGCAGAGAAGGCAAAGGCTCAGCAGCAGGAAAGGGCTCAGCAGTTTGAAAATTGTGTTTCAAATGATAATCTCTCTTTAAGAGCAACGAGAAGTCACAGAAAGTGCTTTTAAAAAGCCACAAAAAACTAGTTAGACTAATATTCAGGTTTTGTTCTAGGACACTTACCACCACAGTAAAATAAATTAATATTTTATCTTGTCTTTTAGGGGCTTTTCCACCTCCCAAGGGCCATAAAGAAGCTGTTTCCAGGGATATGACCCTGAGCAACATGTGGATATTTCTCATACAGTCTTTTGCATTTTTGTCAGGCTACATGTGGTACAACATCTTTCAGTATTTTTACCATTGCCTGTTTTAGGAATTGACTTGAACTTGTCAAGGTCACCACAGGAGTTCAGACTTTCATAAGCGTGCATTATTTTACATGCGCAAAACAGAATATTAAAAAAAAAAAGCAAAGGAAATTCAATGGATGGACTAATATTTATCCCCCTTTGGGATATTTTAAAACTCTACTAAAATGAGGATCAATAATATAATGACCTGCTAATGTGTTTTAAGGACTTTTCATGTTTTCAAAAGATACACTCTACCACACATTTAAGCAAACATCACATTTGGAGAAGAGGAAATCATAAAACCATCCTAGGAGACTCTCTGAGAGAAATACCTGATAATCTAGTTCAAACTCAGAGCAAGTTGTACGTATTTGTTCCCCTTAGCTAGCAGTCTCTATTAGGGCAGTGCCGTAGAGCGTGTCATTTCCCCCAACCCTTGCTGTTCCTAGTGACCTTGCGGGAAGCTGGTTGGCACCTTCCGAAGAACTGTTCCCTGTTGTTTGTAGCGATGCTGCAGTCCTCAGCAACTCTGTGAGGTTCGTTGTCAAGCATGCCCTGGGCAGGGAAGCAGTGTCCATGGGCGTATTCTGGTACTGGAATGTGTTCTTTAGAAAGACTAGCTCAGTCCAGTGCCGTGTTTACATGCGCTAGGGCTTTTCCTTATATGAGGTGGGGTCGCTTGATTTCTCCTCTTGTATAGAAGACATATCATAGATTGATACTTGTCTTTTACAAAATGCACTTTTATCAGATGCATCTATAGGAAAGGATTAGTAACGTAGCCTGAAAACAAACATAAGCATCAACAGTGAGTGGGGCCTCCAGAAGCTGCCTGTCTGCGTGTTCATCTGTGTGCGGACGCTCTCCAGCACCACCTGCGCTGGGCACCACGCTGAGGCTTCTGTCCAGCCCAGAGCCTTTTTTCCCCCTCCATTTTGCATATTAGCATCAAATGCATTTGGGATTGGTTGAAACAAATTAATGTAAAACATTTAAATGATCAATTTATGGCAAAATAGGCTAGCTTATTGGAAAAGTATGAGCCAGAGCCAGGTACTGGTTTAAAATGGTGACATGTTCTCCCATGGCACCCCCATTACCCATGTTCCGTTATCCCGTCATGGAGCTGCCCGTGTCAGAGCGGTGTAACCAGGAGACAGACCAGCAAAAAGGCTTCCCAGTCTCTTCCGATTGCTTTTGAAAGGACAAAGTCAGGTTTTTAGTTCTAGAAAACTTTTTTTATTTGTCACTATGTTCATGTGGTTTACCTCACAATAGAACCAAACTCTTCTCAAAAAGTACTGGCGCTGCCTCGGTCCGTCACCTGCGCTCCCAGTGTTAAGAGAGAGGGTATTTTTGGGTTTGGGACTGTAAGACCATTTAGATCCTAGAGAGTCAGTGCTAGTTAGCTGTGATATGAGCACTGTAGATTCCCCTGTTGTCACTAATCACACAAATGACAATTTTGAGAAGTAGGCCAGAAAATAAAACTAAAGGCTATTGTTTTCTATGTTTAAATAAACCAAAAAAAAAAAACTGAAAAGATGTGAATTTTTCTCCCAGTTATGTGGGAAAGGCAAAGCAACACCAAACAAAAGCCCACTGCAGCTTCATCTTTAGGCTAATTCAGTGAATATATGAAAGAGAATGACGTGCTAACTGAAATACCTCATTGAATGTTACACCACTGCTGGTGGAATGCAGAAGACAGTGTTAACGTGTTTGATTTGGTAACGGTTATTGTAAGACGCAATTTTTTTAAAAATCTGAGCAATTCGTTATATATCTTACAGTGACAGTGAGTAGGTGAAGCCAGTCTGAATTGAGAGGTGTGGCCGATGATAGGAAGCCAGATAGAAGCTTAGAGATGCTTCTGTTTGAGGCCCTGCAAGCACTACTGGGCTACAAGATGAAATTGTTCATTTGAGAGGCTAGTCGGCCATCTAGGGGGTAAGGTGCTCACTGTTGAGTGGCCTGCATACCCCTGGCCAGTAGACCTTTTCCTCATGGCTAAGCAAGCCACAGGTAGAGTGGCCAGTTCTCCTATCAAAACAAAAAAGAAAGAAAGAAAGAAAGAAAGAAAGAAAAGAAATGTGCACACACATATGTAATTGTGGTTTAGGGCCACTTTTGCCATCACTGTGTTCCAAAGGAACTTGATGCAGTTTAATACACTGTACACGTTAAACAAACGATTCTGTAAGACGCTTTACTTTTCAAGCGCGGTCACTTCAGCTGTCTCTAGAGTGACAAATACCAATAGAGGTGTGAGTCAATTTTTGAAAATCGATTTGTGAGTTGTAAATAGATGTGTATTTGATCTGCCCTGTCCCTCTCTGAATCTTTATCAACATGTCCTCTGTCTTCTGTTGGCAAAATATGTTTGTTTGAGAGCATTGATAGTGTTTTCCTTATCAGTAACTGGAGTTCTCCTGCTTGCACTTGGGGCTGTAAAGAGAGAATCAGTGTTTTTATATGGGAATCAGGGAAGCAGCAATACGCCACTCACTGTACAGAACTGAATTAAAACTCCTGGTTTGTATTTGCTTTTCAAAGTGAGATCAAAGGGTGTTTAGAGAATATACATTTTGTCAAGGGGAAAGAAAATTAAACTGTGCCAGTTTTATGCAAGTAGCTTGTAGACTCTCAGCACTTCTTGGGCTCAGCTGATCTGCCTAGATTCACACAACAGAGAGGGTTGAAAACTCCCTGCTGGATCCTGGTCTCAACAAGTCACAGGGACGGAGCATCTGCTTGGTCACTGGCAGGTGCAGTGACCACGGACGTGACCGCCCCGGCAGTGCACTCTTAACTTCAGAAACTATTATTGGTATTAAAATATACAGATATTGTGGAGAAACCTATATGCCAGTGGAAGGTAAAGAGAAATTACAGCATGAAAAATGATGTTTTGGGTGGGCACACAAGTTGAGAATCTAAATAGTAGATCTTTTTAAATAGATAGCTATGAGTTCAGATCTGTCATATTAAGAAGTTTTTAATATTACAGCCAACCCTTAACTTTCTGCAGTAAAAGAACTAGAGATTACTGGATAATTAATCCAAGAATAAGTCCTAGTAAGCCAAAAATCGAATTGTATTTAGGAATCTTGTGTTTTTATTCTCATCAAATTTTTTTTCTTCTAAGGATGCTTATTAATTTTTTAAAAATGATTTGAGCTGTTTATTAATTTTTCTTGCCTATATATTTATGACTGTTAATGAGTAGTGAAAAGATTTGGGAAGACAGCTTCAGGGAGAGGAAACACAAAAGCCTAAATAATCCATGGGCTGGAAAAGGGATCCATGAATAATCGAGACAGTGGTATTGTATTTTTTCTCAAGCCTTTTTGTGAAAATGAAATATTAAGTCACCAAATGCAAACCTCAGAACGTCACTGTCACGTTAACGTCGTTTGGATCAACGTTAAGAATGCCTCTTTGTTCTTCACTCATGTCACCTGCTTCTTGTAGGTTTGTCTTAGCAACGTTTTTTTTGACAATCACTTCCCTACAGACTGTTCTGAACTAGTGGGACCTGGTTATAATCACAGGAAGTAGACTTTAATCATGAATCATCTTGTTGGATTCTTTTTATATTTAAGAAGATGTTGTTTGCATTACTGAATAGGAAGAGTTAGTTATTTTCTTAATTATGCAGGACCCCACTCCAGAGTTACCACTATGCACATGTCAGCTCTGGTCCACAGAGGGTGGATAAAAATGATGAGTCCTACTTTTTTGCAATGTAGTGCTGTGCATTTTACGTCTGTTAACACGAAAGGCAAAGGCAAAGCTGCCCTGGGCAGCAAATCTACTGGTTCATTTTATGAGGCCATAGAGACTAATATGTTTGGGACCAAAACCACCTAAGTTAGACATTTCTAGGTCACAGAGGGGCTGGTTGTTCTCTGGAAAAGTCACTGGTTGGTGCTTTATTGTAATCATTTTTGCATTGATCCCCAACAATTAGGAACTGGACCCTGGGAATAAGCTGAGGGTGCTGAACTATTGGGGGAGGGTGACTGTAGACATACGAAAGATAAAATAAGGGTTTTTCTGCAAAATTTCCATTTGAGGATTTTTACATTTAATATTTTTTTAAAACAGTTAAAAGAGCAAAAAAAATTTTTAAGTGTAATCTAGTTGCAAGGTATACACACATATTTTGAATGGCTTTATTTTTATTGTGTAAAACTGTTGAACACATGACTGTGATGCACAAATTCTTTACATGTAAAGAGTCTATGCATTTTACAGTGACTTACTTCATGACTGAGTAATGAAACAGTTATACATGGACCTGCCATTGTTGTATTAAGTGCTTTCGTTTTCTTTACAGTTATTACAAAGTTGTATTTATTTTATACAGGTGGATTTTAGTTTTCCTGATGCCATAATGTTTACTTCAGCTTGTTGACCTGTCTCTTTCTTTGTGTATCTGCATGTAATAATGTATAATAAGAATGAATGTAAAGGCTGTGGCAACTGTAATTAAATTTTGTAAAGGGCTGGTCACATGTGGATCTGGTTTGTGAATGCATTTGGGATTATTATAGTAACCAGATCACCTTTTCAGAAATATAGATGTGAACGCCAGAAGAAGCATTTTCTCGACAAAAATGAATAGCTGGTTCTATTTTTTTTAACCTAGAAAAAAATAAAGTTGATTTTTTTTCAAGTAAAGTGCTTTTAATTCTTAGTAGTGGGGGTGGGGTGTTTGTATTTTACTGGAGATATTTTGGCATTAATATCTGTGGACGTGTGTCATGGCAGTTGGATGCTGAGGGCAAACTGAAAAACCAGATGAAAAACGTACTTCCTTCTTTGGTTTTAAACTATTCTCACTCCCTCCCCATTTTCCCCATCCAGTGGTATACTGGTAAATGTTTAATATTCTGCTCCCCTAGAAAAAAAATTATGTATACAAGTGTACACAAGTTTGCTATAAATTTTGCTGATGGCAGGGATACCTAATACAATTAACAAATAATAATAAAATGTACTTTATTGTAAATTCCATATAGCCAGTTGATTCTCCCAGGATGCTTTAACTGATTTTTGCTGAACTCTTGCCAATCTGATTGTAATTCAGCCATGATTTGAAAAGTAGAATTACATCCTAATCCATTTATTTGTCATATTTATTGTCATTCACTTTGATATGTCATCTATTAAACTATGTCTTACCCTTGTACAAATTATACCCATTAAAGTGAACCACTTATAGCTTCAGCACTCATTGTAAGCTTATATAATTTAACTTGATTAACAACTATTTAGCAACTGCTGGCAAAATTCTAAAATTTAACAATCAGCTCTAGGGAGCCAGTAGGAGTCGTCTTCAGCACACCACTGCCCTGTGCTTTTGTTTTTTCAAACTGTGTCGAGTGAACGTACTGCTTTCAAGATGTTCCTATCACTGACTCTTGCAGGGGCTTTAAAGAGTGGGAAATCATTAATGCCAGTCCTTCAAGAGGGTACTTTGGTTTGAAGAATTTGACAAAAGCTTCCTGAAGTGCATGGGAAGCTTGCATATTTCTAAAGTTGGTTCTATGCTTTCATTTTTCAGAGTTAAGTATACTGATAATAGGCATCTCTAAGATCGTGTTTTGAGCATTGAAAACATTTATTGTTTAGATATTTGTTTGGAGAGTATGTTTGATCCCATTGAAAACTTTTAAACGTATTTAAGTATCTTACACAATCTACCAAATAGATAAATCGTACAGTTCAGTCTACCTCTTCTTTTCCTATCTGGATTTCGGCTGCTGTTTCAGTGAGGCTGTAATTTCTCCTCCCCCACGCCCCAGTGTGGTTTGTGTGGAAGACAAAGAACAAACTGAGGGCAGAGCCCTGAAAGCAGATTTGAAGCTCTCTCAGATCTGTTGCTGACCAGTCCTATTCATGAGTTGGGGGCAAAAAGAAGAGCCATTGTTTTTAATTTCCACTTAATACGAAAATGTTTGTTTTTAAAAAATGTTTCTTCCTGCTGAAAAAAAAATTGTATTTTTAAAGGAAAAAATTTCCTCTCTTGGCTATAAGAAAAAGTCAGCTGTATGAGCAGGTGTGACCATATCATGACATGCTGATACGATATAAATCAATAAATTTTTACCTCTCAGGACTTGGACAACCTTGTTCTTAACTCTTGGAGGCATAAGAAACATAAACCAAGTTATCAATTACCCAATTCACATATAAACACACACACAAATGGACCATGGGAGGAGGGTTGTCTAACCTCTGAAAATGAGACAGGCTGTTTTCACAGTCAGAAAAATACTCTTAATTAGGTATGATAAACCCGTTTAATGAAGGAAGAAATTGGAACGATGTTTTC